TAGAGGGAATGGTCTCAAGTTGCACCAGGGGAAGTTCAGGTTGGACATTAGGAAATGCTTCTCTGAGATGGTAGAGTCATCTGTTTCTGGAGGTGTTCAAGAAATGTTTAGATGTTTTACTGAGGGTCATGGTTTAGTGGGAAGTATTGGTGACAAGTGGACAGTTGGACTGGATGATCTCAGAGCTCTTTTCCAACCTTGGTGATTCTGTGATCATGGGAGTAGCGTATGTAGTTTTGTCTTGCGTGCTTCAAACATGATGCTGACAAATTGAAAACTTCTGAGAAAGAACAATGAGGAAGATGTGAGGTCTGGTAACTCCCCTTCCTCTTTACAAAGAGTCTTAAGAAGCTCAACATGTTTAGTTTATTAGAGAAAAGGTCAAAAGGTGATGACCAAGGCCTACGAATATTATAATACTATAAAGGGAAAAAATTGCGGATAGGAGAGAGCTCTCTAATCTACAAACCTAAGACCCTAGATTTAATGGATAGAAGCTGAAGCTAGAAAAAAATTCTGACAGAAGCAGGGTAAAATCTGAAAACTGCGATAGATTAATTATTTGAAAAAGTTGCCTAGGGATTTGACGTATTGCTAGAAATCTTTAATGATTTTTCCCCTTTTCTTCTAAAAAATTGCTCAAATGTGAAGACTGCAGGTAAAATTCCCTGCCTTGTGTTGTACAGGGTAGAAGTGCAGTTAGCTAACCAGAACAGGTTTTTTAATGCTGAAGTCATTAGAAGTCATAGAGGGGTTGAGAAGAGGCTAGTCCTGGGTGAAACTGTACTTTGAAAGCATCAGTCTAGCAGTGTGTAAGGAAAGCCCCATGAACAATCATGATTGGCTCATAGAGAGTCGACTGCTGGCAAGCTCTGAATAATTCTGAGGAAAATCACTTCATCTGTTGCGCTGTCTGAAAGAAAAACAGCAGCATACACAATATACTATTTCATAGATACAACTTCATATCCAATATACTACACTATACAATTTCCATTTAAAACTTAATATACAGTATATTATGATGCATATTGTATGTGATGTATTATATATGCTACTATATATGTACATCATGTGGTGCACGTGTGTATATATATGTGCATGTAAAATACATACACACAAAAAAGAGATAAAGGCTGTTCAAATGGAACCTTCACTTAAATTATGTACAACACAGAAAGACCTTATGGAAGAAAGAAGGTATCACCAAGTGGCTTGTAAAGCAGGGAAGCACACGACTAAAATTTTCCAGCTAAACTGATCTACGACGAACAATGTCACCAGGGCAAGAGACATAGAGGAAGATTGAAAGCAACCAGTTACACTTCCTCAGCAAAGCTCAGTCAGAACAACATTGGCTAAAATCACTCAGAGAAGATACTGCAGTTACCCTTTGGTTTGTAGGTGAAAATACCGCCACAGCAATCAATCAAACATTGATATTTTTACAAGAGACAATAACAAATCAATGTTTGCTGCCACAACAAACAACGAAAACGGAATCTAAGAAATTTCTGCAGCAGCAGAGCATCATCAGAACTGGAAGGAAGGCAGTGCTTCTGAAGGGATTGTTTCTTCGCAAAACTACCTAGCGCTAAACTTTTAGTATGTGCCAAATCTTCTCTCCCAAAGAACTCTCAAGTCCACATTAACCCCTGGGCTAATACAGAGGTAAATCTCAAATTGCTTGGGCTGAAAACATCCCCTTGCATCTCACTGTTCTCTACACACTTGATGAAGGGTTGACATGGGCTGTAGGCCCACAATTGCACACTTAATAACTGGAAGGTCAGGAAGATCCTCCAGCTTAGTGTTATAAAAAGGGCAATGGCACACATATCCAAGCAACGTGTCTGGGGACCTCTGCAGCTTCAGTAACCCAGGCAAGGTCTTGAAATGCTCTACCTCATGTTAACATTAAAAAAAATCACTGTGAGCAGGCTGTGACCACGTGAATTAATTCTGCAGAGAACATGTATCCTAGATGTAGCTCACTTACATAAGAGCATGACTTTTTTGGAGATGCTTATACTTTCACATTTGGAACTTGAATTGCCTTCTCCTTTGGACTACTGGCCCTTCAAGAAATTTATATAGCATTATCATTCTGTACTTCACAACGTTCCTCAGGAAGCAAAGATAGAAGAGACAAACCGATAAATGCAGGAAATACACTTGATATTTTCATAACAACTCTTAATGGAGGAAGAAGGAGGTTAAAAAAAAATAATCCACTAGAAGTAAGAATGTAGTTTATTTGTCTAAAAGAGAACATTAATAGGAGATAGACAAAATAGAACCGGGGAGGTTAAAGCCTGACAGAGGAAGCATACAGGTTCTCATAAGAACAGACAGTTACCTAAAGAGAAAAAAATAAAACACCGAGTAAGCGTGCAGGGAGATATTTAAGAAGGGGAAAAATCAAATAAATGCTCAAATCAATTGCAGAGACTTAATTTGCAAAGATATTACAACACAGATCCAGCAATTTATTTCTTCCCCACACAGCTCCAAATTCTAGTATCTACACCCATCAACTCCACCTTCATCCTCCACAATAGCGCTGGTGAACAGGAGGAAGACCACAGCAGGGAGGTTGGAACTAGATAAACTTTAAGGTCCCTTCCAACTCAAGCCAATCTATTGCCAAGGAGCAATAAAGAAAGCATTTATGGAGCTACAGATGCTGATCTTTGGGATGAGCATAACCTTCTCTATCCATTCCAGCTGCAAATACAATCTCCCCATCTTGAAGAAAAACACCTATCCTATTGCTCTTGGTATAATGATCTTGATAGGCTACAGTCATAGATCCTTGCATGCCCAGTATTATATACAAATATAGATGAATCTTAAGGCAAGAACGTAGGAACCTTTCAGAGACACCCAAGGGGTACAAAGTTTGGGGGAGGAGGTAAATTCATATGAAAAAGATGTAAAGGCGGCTCATCACAGCAGGTTAAACCTGTTGATCTTCTTTATTAGAACTCAGTGCAAGTTTAATTTTCCCGTTTAGAGGAGTTTTATCATTTCCAGCAAGAAACACAGCACTGCAAATTCACTCCTCAAAGCCATGCTTGAAAGGCTCCATTGTAAATCACAACCAGAACAGTACGGTTTGAAAGACCAGACTATTCCCCCCCAAAAACAGGGAATATGCACAAACGACTGGTTATGCAGACACCAATAACAAAAATAAAAGCAAATAGGTTGGGAAAGGAGGACGAAATTCCTTCCGTTGATTTGATAGTTCACATTTACAAGTGTCCCATTCAGGGACAATGATTTTGGAGTTTCAGCCCCTCCACTCCCTCAAGGATGCACGTACAGCACAGCAGTGATGCACAACACCCTTGGCTTAAAGGGACATTCGCTTTCAACTCAACAATAGTGGACTTGAGTTCATGAAAGCGAGGCAACCCAGAAAGGCTGTGCTCTGACATGAACACCTTGATTCCTGAGGGAAGACTGGGCTGATCTCTGAACCTTTAGGCATAAGCACAACAGAAGGTTCAATAACTGTGTTCCACTATTCAGATGGTACAAGATGAATGACATATTCAACGGTTCTGCTGCTACACACCTTAAGGTAATGGCCTGCTACTTTCCCCTCGCTTTTTTTCAGTGCTAGAAAGCAAAGAGGTTCCCATGCCACGCATCCAGTACAACAACCCAGGAGAGATATTCACAACCGATTTGAATGGCTAGCTCCATGGGTAGAGGCTGCTCATGAGGAATCATAGCCCCGCAAAACAGACCGTGCAGACAAAAGACACAAATTCTCACAAGTAGCTGCGCTGGCAACTAAGTAACTCACTGCAGAAGTCAAGCAGCCACAGCGCCGAGGCAAATGCCATGAAAGACACGACCTCTTTCAGAAGCAACCTCAGAACGTCGCTGCAGCTAGCAGGAGGCAATCGACAGATCTCAACTGCAAGCAAAGCAGCGTGCAAAGCGATGCCACAATGACCAAATGGCTGCCACTCCAAAGCACAGCCGGCGGACTCGCTGGTCAACAGCCACAGAAGCATTGCAACCTGCCATCTGGGGGCCAGCAGGGCAAAGCAGGGACCGATTCGATGGCACAGCCAGAAGAGCGGCACAGGAAATAAGGCTGCCGCCTTTCCCTGAAGAGTCGACGAACACCCCAGGACGGAGAGTGAGCACCAACGCCCCCCAGATGCCACCACCCGTAGGGCCGTGCTCGCTCCCCGGTCCCCCGGCAGCTGTTTCCGCCTGTGAGCAGGGCAGCAGGTCCGCCCGTGCTGCGGATGGCAGCGGCGGGGCGAATCCCACCCGTGCAGCAAAGAGGGAGCGCACACACTTGGCGGTACGCCGGTTCCCCCGCTCAGAGCCCGCTGCGAACACCGCTTGCGGGCGTTATTCCTGCCTGCTCCCTAGCTGCACCTGGAAAGCAGGGACAATAAGAGGCTCTCCAGCAGGAGGGAATCTCGTCGAGATTTTTCGGGGCGGCGGGAGCCCGGCCGGCAGCGGGCGGGCCGATTTCCTTCCAGCATTGTTTTATTTCGATTCCAGAACGGCGCCGGGCTGCGCGCTCACAGCTCCGGCCCCTCCGCCGCCCCGGGGGCACCCCTGCCCCGGCCCCCGCCGAACTTCGCTCTGCCGGGAGGGGGCTCGGCGGGCGCTGACGTCACGCCGGGAAGCGGCGAGGGGGGGGGAGGTCCCCGCCCCGGGACCCTACGGCGGGTCCGCTCCGCGGGCTGCACTGGGCTGGGCGGGCGGCCCCCCTCGGCGATTTACGGTCGTTCCCGGCTCCCGCTCACGGAGAGAGGTTCGCCCCGGAGCCAGCGAGACCCGGTCCCGGCCCCGCCCGCCGCGCCCGCACTAGGGAAGGCACCGCGGGGGGCCCTTCCTCACCGCCACGGGGGTTACCGCGTCCCGCCCGCGCCCCCCGACCCGATCCGACGGACGGACGGACGGAGGGAATCCCCGCGAGTGGGCGAAAATGACAAGCGGCCGTGAGCGGGAGGGGAACTCACCGGCGGCTCCGGAGGGGAGGTCGAATGAAGGGAGGAATGGAGGAGGAGAGGAGCGGGGGAAGGGATTTAAACGCTGCCCCCCTCCCCCTTTTTTCCTTTTTCTTT